GTAAATGATACATCTTCTCAATCATTAAAAAAGGCAATTTATTCTTTGCTTTTGGATCACTCATTATGTACATCCAAAATACGTGGTCAAGGTTATGATGGGGCTAGTAATACGCAAGGGGAAATAAATGGTCTTCTTTGATTTTACAAGATACGTCATCTGCATATTCTATTCACTGTTTTGCTCACCAATTGCAATTGGCACTTGTAGGTCTTTCCAAAAAGAATTCGGATGTGGATAATTTTTTTTATGTTCTCACTAATATTTTGAATACTATTGGAGCTTCATTTAAACGCAGAGATTCACTTCGACAACATCAAGAAGATAAGTTGGAAGAGTTGCTTAAATTTGGAGAAGTTCATACAGGGCAAGGCTTGAATCAAGAACGTGGCCTCCAACGACCGGGTGATACTTGTTGGGGGTCTCATTTTAAAACCTTGGACAATTTCCTGATTCTTTTTTCTTCAATTGTTAATGTGCTTAAGGATATGAAACGTGATTGTCCATATCATCTTGATAGATTTGCGGCGGAAAATCTTTTGAGCAAGATTCATGAATTTGAATTTGTCTTTATGTTGCACTTGATGTTTAAGGTGTTGCTATTGACGAATGAGTTGAATAAAGTTTTACAAAAGAAAGATCAAGATATCGTTAATGCTATGGGATTGCTTGACCTTTCAAAGAAACGATTGCAAATGATGAGAGAGGATGAATGGGACTCTATGATGGATGAGGTTAGCTTATTTTGTGGTAAACATGGAGTTTCAATTCCCAAAATGAATGAAGACTACTCTAATGGGAAGTCGAAGCGTAAGAGGTCCAATATTTCATATTTGCATCACTTTCGTGTGGAAGTGTTTTATGCCGTCATTGATTTGGCACTTCAAGAACTCAATAATCGTTTTGATGTGGTGACTAGTGACTTGCTCCTCGGTATGGCTAGTTTGAGTCCGGTTGATTCATTTGCTAATTTTCACAAGGATAGGATAATGAAACTAGCCGAGTACTACCCAAGTGAGTTTGGTGATAAAGAGCTTCGGGAACTCAATTTTCAACTTGATGATTTTATTGTCTATGCTCAAAAGTTTAATAGCAAGTTTCTCAACTTGAAGGGAATCAAGGATCTTGCAAAAGTGATGATAGAGACGAAACTAGATCAAACTTGGTCACTTGTGTATCTACTTGTGAAGCTAACTTTGATTATTCTTGTTGCTACCGCAAGCGTGGAAAGAGCATTCTCATCAATGAAGTACATAAAGAATGATTTGCGTAATAGGATGGATGAAGATCTTTTGAATGGTTGTTTAGTTTTCTGTATAGAGCGTAGTATATTTTAAAATGTAAGTAATGATGTCATTATTGACCGTTTTCAAAATATGAAAACTCGTCGAGGACAATTGTAAGTGAATGATGTTTTTTGCTAATATATTACTATATAAAGATTGCTACTACCTACTTGCTCGTCAACTTGTTCTCACCGTAAAATTTATATAATTGAATTAATTGTCTATTTTGAAGATAATGGTGCCCCCATGTTCTTGAGATCTTGGATACGCCTCTGATTCTAAGGTGCGCCAATCACATCAATTTAAGTGCGGAGAGTCTCAGGGAGACATCTCAAGCCTTGGCTCGAAGCAGAAACCAGTAAAGAGCTGAAGGGGAAACCTCTTTGTCACGGGACATTTCTGTGACCATCTCCTCTGTTTCTGGTTCACATCAAAAACAAGAAGGGCGGAGCTCCATAACTCTGTTTCTGGTTCACATCAAAAACAATAAATTATATGTATTCAATTTAATAAGTCGTAGAATTTTAAATGTTTTTTTACTTGAGGTTGATGTGAATAATTAAAAGAGATGACATATTTTATGTGGTTAATTCAACCATCTCATAAATAGATAAAAAACATGCATAACTTTTTCTTAAAAAAAGAATGAAAACTGACAAGTTTAAACACTCTATTAGGTATTGTTATGTTCAATTAGAACAAAACTTAGTTAGAGTTTGTTTAAGCCATCGATGTAGTTGGATTGTTGTTTTTTGGAAAAGACAAGTCAAGAGGATTATTGTCGAACAAGTGAAGATATCGTTACAGTTGGTCTTAAGAAAGTGATCATATATATATTTGTGCCTCAACATGAAAATAATTTTTCTTCATTTTTTTTAATCTGTAATTTATTTTTACCAACATATATCTCTTTGAAGACCCTTACAAAACTAATGAAGGATAAGTATATTTTTCTAAATATTAGAAATTACAAAGTCCTGAGCTCCCATACATTACACAACCACTCATCGTCAAATAAAATTCCCACAAACTTGGCCAAGGAAAATAACAACACGCACATGAGGGGAAATGTAGAAACCTTTTTCTTAAGTAAATAAAACTGTATATTTTTAACAAATTAAACTTTTATATACACTTGTAGCATTGTTACTATATTCTTCTTTTTGTAATTATTAGAAATGGTACCATAAATCATTTAATTCAAAAATGATGAAAGAAGATTATATTATTGGGGGGCAAAAATGGAAAAAGAAAGGAAGATAGACAAAATTGATGGACCCGAAAGGAACCGGTGGGCCCATACTAATGGGCTCAACTTTAATTGCTAGTCCAACTAAACATGGGGCCCGTCTTAATGTGAGACAAATAGACAAGTCATGGGCCTTATATGCCCCAACAAAGTATTGCCAAAAAGGATAATTGTCATTTTTCATATCATTCTCTCTTACCATGTAAGAAACCTAAGAGAAGACACTTCGATAGGAAAATAAATATTAGTAATATATATGTAGCGTTGCAGGCCAAGGCAAGATTGTGATCGGAAAAAAGAATCGTTCTTATTAGGACGTGAAAGGGACCTTTTCGGTGCCTTTAAATGGAGGGAATTAGAAATAAGACAAATATACTCTATAATACTGCTACACTAATATTAATTTTTTTCAGGTTTCAAAAAACATTTGTATTTCAGTTTCGATTATTTTTCGTTGTTGTTTGTTACTCTCTCTGTCCCAATTTATGTGACTTACTTTTCTTTTTGGTCAGTCCAAAAAAGAATGACCCATTTCTATATTAAGCAACAATTTAACTATAAAATGTATATTTTACCCTTAATAAAAGGATTTACAGCCACACAAATTTCTATCATTCATTTTGGACCACGAGTTTTAAAAGTCTTCATTACTTTCTTAAATTCCGTGCCGAATCAAACTACCTCACATAAAATGGGACGGAGGGAGTAATTGTTATCAAATCAATATAGTGTACTCTTACAAATGCCCAAATATTTGGGCTCAGTTGGAAAGCAGATATTTTCAAGCCCAAGGTCCACAAAAACAATGATGTAGAAAGAAAAAACAAATGATTTGTTTGAATATGGGGACATTTGTGCATTTATTCGAGAGCAATAAAAAAAGATTTTTTTTTTTGTAATTGAAGAAACTTTCGGAATAGAATGTAATTAGCACCAAATGTATGTGATTTCTATACTTAATACTAGATATTAAGAATATGGGTCATTAGACGAATTCGGAAAATTCGATATATGTGAGTGATTTGTGTAACAATAGGAAATATATGAGTCACTTTTATAATAAGGGATATATCAGCTCTAAATGTCAAAGTTGAAGGGTATATTAGACTATTTTCCCTTTATTTATTAAAAAATTTACAGTGTTAACTAAGGAATTCGACATACAATTTGTGTAAGATCAAACCTTGAGCATTAAGCGTTAGGTATATGGATATATCATTTGGTAGTTGGTTAGAGTTATGCATAAATTAATAGTGTAACTATTAATTACGAATATATCTATATATTATTCAGAGAAGGGCCTAAAATGTCCCTCATCAAGTATTTGAATTGGTACAAAATTACCCTCCATCCACCTATCGGCCCTAAAATACCCTTATTTCTAACGGATCACACTCATTAGGTGGATGGAGGGTAATATTGTACCAAATCTCATAGTTTAAGGGCATATTAGACCCTTTTTCGTTAAAATAATTTGAAATTACTTAATATATACGCTCAAATGATTGACTTGATTTTGAATTTCATAGTTAATTTAAAATTATAAAAAGGTTAGGCATCTACTCTCTAAACTACTCCCTCCCCGACCCTTCACTTATATCTCTTCCATTTTTTTCTATTTGGATCTTGTCCACAATTTTTTTTAAAATTATTTATCACAAACAAGAGAGAGAAAAAGAAGGAAAATAGCGATGCATTCATATAGAAATAATTAGTTCAATAAAAGATGACTTAATCAAGCAAATATGTACAAATATTACATTTTTGTGTGTGTACCCAAAATTAAAATTAAAAGAATAAAAATAATCATTTCTTTTATCCCCACCCTCATCCCATCATGGCAATAATACTAATTAAAAGAATATAAATATGTGAGTTCATTTCAAGTTTGATTCCCGGATATCCTAATTATGAATAAGAGATTAAATACGGAATAAAAGAGATTGAACAAGACATTTGGATAATTGAGAGAAAATTTTATATTAATGAAAATAATAATTTTTTTAGATGAACAATCCGTCGGGGTAAGTATCGATTTTAGTTGGATCCCTATTTATGAGTTGGGTTACGTTATAATAAATTGGGGTTGATTTAAAATAGGCCAATAGGAAGTAATCATGAAATTATTTTTTCAATATTATTTTCAAGTGTATCGGGTCAAAATATGAATCATAAGTGGTTTTATAGAAAAATAGAAAATTTAAAAATATCATTATTGTTATTTATTTGAGAAGGGTTTAAATTTTTAGTAATCACATTAAGCAATATAATAAATAAATATTTAATAATTTTACTTTAAGGGAGCTATTAAAAATAAGGGCAAATATGAGTCAAAAGATTAACATCGAAGGTATTTTTGAGCCGAAAGGTGGACGTCAGAGGTATTTTAGGGCCGATAGGTAGATGGAGGGTAGTTTTGTACCAATTCAAATACTTGAGGGGCATTTTAGACCCTTCTCCGTATATTATTTTATATGGATATTAGTCTAACATAAATTTTAGATCTGAAATGCCAACTTATCTCTTGGTTAAGTAGTAATTGTTCAAATTGTTGATTTTATCTTAGATTATTTACTTGTTTTTGTTTTTTACTGTGGCTGTGATCCAAACTTCAGCGGACAATAAGACATATCTCCTAGGAATTTGTGTAATTGTTTGGTGTGAAGAAGACAAAACTGTAAAATTCCAATTTTTGTTTTAACACAAGGTTACAAAAATATATACTAACTAATTTTAAATTTTAGTCTAGTTTATCTGTTTTTACATATCAAACTTCAATAGCCATACAAACGCATGCAAGTTGCAACAACATGAATATTTACTCTTCTCATCAAGTTAATATCTGAAAAAGTTTGGCTAAATATTATATATTATTTTGATTTATGAGTTACCTTTGTAGAAAGAATAAAACTAAAATGATGCTTGAAAATATAATTTGCCGCAAAAAATATCACATCAAGAGTTGTTAAATGTCCAATTATCATTATGGGTGAGTATTCTTTATAAAAAAAAATTCAATTATTCAAAAGCGCCAAAGTTTTATTGAATAAATATTGCTAGTGACAAATTGTGAAACCCTCTAGATGGAAAAGGTGTAACATAAACTAGTAAAAATGTTATATAATTACACTTTTTTTTTAACATTTAGTGTCCGGAACTCACATTGAAGTCCAACTAAATTCAGATTCGTACTGAAAAATCTCACATTAGGGTAAAGTGTTTCCTAACAGAAGCAACTTCATATCCAAGAGAACTTGCATCCGAAACTTCTAGTTAAGGATGAAAGTACTCAGTGGCGGATCCAGAAATTTTGTATCATGGGTGCTCAACTATTTTTAGCTCGGAAAATGCTACATATAATGGGTGCTCAGTTAATATATTTCAATACATTTCTAAATTTTGTACATAAATAAGAATGTTGACACAAAAGGTAGTGGCTGCTTAAGCACCCATAAGTGACTGCCACTGAAAGTACTTATCACTCCACCATAACTCTTGTTGGTTTATTATTACTGTTATGTTCAGACAAGATTGATTATTATATCGAGTACTTGGTACCTCCCAATTAGGTCACTTGCCCATAATCACTTTGGCAACCAAACCATCAGTGTCTTGTAAAGGGGGCTTTTATTTTCTTGGTATAGTAACAAGAAACAAGTGATGTACCAAAACTCAAAACACACTCAAGGCATGGGCATGAGTATGACTTTACCAAAATAGATTGAGTATGTCATTAGCCAATGAAAAAACTTTATTGTTGGACATGTGAAATCTTGAAACACCAATCGTTTTTGACAACAGC